CAGCCACATGACCATGATCTGTGATGTTTTTTGTTAGTTTCTGGCACAAAAAAGCCCCTCCCATTTGGGAGAATGGATACATTTAATGACCATGTGATTCTCTTAATGACTGCTGTAAAAATGGTCAGAAATTGAATCCAATGACATGGCTGTCTCAATGTACAATTTATATGAGTTACAACCACAATTCCAGTCCTAAATGTAAGTTTAGGACTATTCGTACTGATAATTTTGATAGTTCTGTTTTTTATTGCATTGTCTGTTGTTGCCTGTAAGTCACTTAGGATCTGGTGACTAAGAGCTTTTGTAATAAATACCGGTAAGTAAACATCATATTGTTGCTACAAATTGTGTGGAAGAACAGCAAGCATTCCTTGCACGTAATATGAGGCGCCTTAGGAAGATGCTGATATGCACCAAGGCCTGATTTATATTATTGTTTGCCCACAAATAGAAGATGAGAAAGACTGCATGGGCAAGACTGTTACTGTATATACATACATGTATATAAGATATTAATAGCTCTTTTTCCTCAAAGAAAAGTTTTTTAAAAATATATTTTTTAAAGTGGGCTATCATGTCTGAACTAGAGAAATCCGGATTATTAATAATTAGCCAGAATAATAAGTTGTATATAGAATATAGCTCAGAAAGCAAGAAAAGAAAACAAGCTGGGATAATGCAGTACCAGGGATTCCACATAATAAGTTGTGTTTTTCTCTTTGGCTACCTGAAGTAATTGAGGACAGTTCTCCACTAGTATTGTTTTCATTTCTTCAGTAATTAACATATACAAAGTAATACTTCGGTTTTTCTTCTCTACACAATTTTAAATGTCTCAAAATTTATTTTATATAGAAAGTTTATGTGAAGATATTGTGTAATTTACTAATGAATAATTGATGCTGTCGAAGGTTTTGTTGACAGTAAACTCACAAAAGGCTCTGAATACATTGTCACCATAAGTTCTTGTGTTTGAATATTCCATTTGACTGAAGTGAAGCAAATGTGGTTTGGTTGGGCTCAAGGTGTCATTTTTAGAGACTGCAAGTAAAAATTAAAGAGAAGGGGTTTCAGGTAGTCCTCAGGTTATGGACCAGAATTTCCATAGGAAAGTAACATGATTGTAAAGTCCACATGACTCTGCCACTTAGGAACAGCAGCTCTGGCAGTCCCACTGCCAGAAAGAACCTCATATGATAATTTACTTTGCTCGTAGGAAATGGGCAGGGAACATCCAATCATGTGACCACTGAGGCCTGCAATCAGTGGTGGGATTCAAATAATTTAAGAACCGGTTCTCTGCCCTAATGACCAGCTGGGTAGGAGTGGCTCAGTTGTCATGTGACTGGGTGGGCATGGCCAACTCAATATCACTCACATTGATGGGCGCTTCGCCTTAGCTGTTACAATGTAATAAGGGTTAACCGGAGAGACAGTTTCTGTAAGCAGGGCAATAAAAATTAGGCTAGAAACAACACCAGAATGTTTCCATCCTGCCTTAGCCCTGTAAAGTGGAAAAAAAACAAAATAAGATTTTTTCCAACAGATTTCTGGAAGTTGAAGTCCACAAGTCTTAAAGTTGCCAAGTTTGAAGATCTCTGGGCTAGAAGATCTCCACGTTCCCTTCCAACTCTGTTATTCTATATTCTGTAAGACAATGATTAAGAGTGGGACTGTGGGGGATGAAATTATAAAGACCTAAGATTATAAATGAAAATGAGTTATCTCAACTTGCACAAGAAGGAATATTGTTTTAATCAAGGAGAGCTACCTTTAATACAACTGATTAACCACTACCATTCTACAAATGTTATGCCTCTGACTTTTTTGTCTGAGAAATCTAGAATAAAAATATTAGTGATTCTCTTCTCATACTGCATGAAAAGACTTGGTCAAACTCTCCTGGTTTGTTGGCACTTGATTCAGACAGCAAGTTAATAATTGAATAAAGATTAAGGAAGTGACAGATAATAACATTGTCTCTCCTTTTTGTTTATTTGGTAACATGTAGGAACTGGTATAAAAGAATAAACCTTAATAAAGTTCTATTAGTTTCCTTAAAATTGTATTTTATGGATTAAAATAATTGTATGGCCCTAATAAAAATATTATTGATATATTTATTCAGTCAATTGTACGAAGTATATTTCCTTTTATTCAGTAGAGGGAAACTGGCTTGTTTACATTAAAGGAAATGCCCACTGCCCTGGCACTAATTGTTAGCTATTGTATGAGTCACAGCACAAACACTGAACAGTGAAAAGATAGTAATATCTGAGTAAATTACTTGCAGACAAACATGCTAAAACTGCTTTCAAAACTCCATGATCTAGGAGTGAAACTAATACAGATATAGTCCTCAACTTACAACCACAATTGAGCCCAAAATTTATGTTGTTAAGTGAGAAATTTGTTAAGTGAGTTTTGCCCCATTTTACTACTTTTTTCACCACATTTGTTAAGTGAATCGTAGTTGTTACATTAGTGTCATGATTGTTAAAGGTATCTGGTTTCCCCATTAACTTTGCTTGTCAGAAGATTGCAAAGGCGGATCACATGACTTCCAGACACTGCAACTCTCATAAATGTGAGTCAGTTGTCAAGCATCTGAATGTAAGACCATGGGGATGCATCAATGGTCATAAGTGTGAAAAATGATCATAATTCACTTTTTTCAGTGTTTTTGTAACTTTGGTCACTAAAGGGGCTGTTGCACCAAGTATTTGAGAAAATTGATCCAGAACAAAAAAAGGGGGGCAGGGAATTGGCCTACAGGGCATGATTCCAATTCTTGTATTCTAGTCTCAGCATAGAATTCTTTCACTTTATGCTAGCAATACATTTCCCAAATGAATTGCAAAAAGTGATACACTGAACTAATCAGGAAAAAAGGGATTGCTGGGTAATGTGTCCGATTTTATGTGAGCCGCCCTGAGTCCCCTCAGGGAAAAGGGCGGCCTACAAATATTAATAAAATCTCAAAAATCTCAAATGTTGCAATGTCATATTTATAATGTTATAAATATTTAAAGCCTTTATTCTTAAGTATTAGGTTACTCAAATACATTTTTTTCTTGTCTTCTGTTCTATGTACAGCAAATACCTCCATATTTTCTATAGCTGGATTACTAATGCACATAGTTATCACTGCAGACACAGAGCTATCTCTACACATTTTATTAGCATTCTTCATTATGTTGCACCAAGTACATTCACCCAGGATAAAAGTTAGTTCTATAGCTAAGGTTCCTTCAACTTCTAAGCATAGTACACAAAATTGTCTGTTACGTCTTATCTTTCAACAACTTCTTCAGCTTCAACCTCAATAATACATGGGCAAACAATTGATACAAACTCAANGTTTTTCATGAATTAGTATACAGTATTAACTTGAAGGTTCTTTTCCTATTTTATAAAATGCATGTTGCTAAGACTACAATTTTATTTCATTTTATTTCTCTCTCTCTCTCTCTCTCTCTCTCTGGGTTGTGTGTGTGTGTGTGTGTTTGTGTTTTAAGATGGAAGTTGAAATGGAAAATGGGAAATAGTTGCGCTAAGATTTGATCTGGTTTTCTTCTGATTTCCAATATCAGTTTGGATGGCTAAAGAAACAGGATAATGATGGTCAAGAAGACCAATTTGACTTCAGCTATTGTTGAAAAGAAAAACAAAAACAAAAACCCAGTTACTACAATCTGTACCTAAGTGATGTATTTGATTTCTGCAAACAATTTTCCTGAAGGAAGTTAAAACTATGTGTTAAAATTAATCTTGAAACAAGAATCCCAATTTTAAAGTTAAATGAACATAGCTGGACCGTTGAAGTTCTTTAAATGCTTCCTATAAACTCTGTTAGCAACCTTTACAAATGTCACCCAAGCTTTTTTTTAAAAAAGCCACAATGTGGATGAAATAACCCATGTTAAATAATCCTGCCTTGGTGTCAGTCAGGAAACTGTATCTGAGCTCAGGCTTTCACTCAGGAAAACAACAATACAGTAATAAAGAAAGATGTCGATTAAGGGAATATCTGGCTGCTGTCCAAAACCAAGAGTCGAACCTGCACAAAAGATCGCTGGGATATCACCGAGCGAGACTGCAGATGAAGGCAGGAAAATAGAAAAAAACAAAACAGATCCAGGAAGAAAGCAGTGGCACAATTACAATCTTGCCGTCCAGGAAGTTAGACGGATGCGGGGCCGTGCATCTTCGAAGAGGAGCTTACTTTCAATAATTGTAATAATTTGGAAACCGCCCAGAATCGCCTCACAGCCAGAGATGGGCGTCAAACAAATTAAAATAAACAAATGAACGATTCGTCTTCTAGTCCGCACAGAACCAAAAGGAACCCCATGACGCGCCTTTTCCTCCCCAATTCCCCCCCCCCCCAAAGAAGCGATTCGGGGTCGAGAACGGGAAGGAGCTTTCCCACGTGTCAAGAGAAAAGGGACGCCAAGCTGGAGAGGCGTTTCCTCCGCTCCGCCCGTCAACATACACACGCGCGCGCGCGCGCATCCTCTCTCGGATGGAGGGCTGCCAATTGTTGGGGCTTTTCCCTTTGCGAGCATCGCCTTCCTCTCCCCGGCTTGCATTTCTTTAGCGACCGTCTTTCTTGCGCCACGGGGACTGGCCGGCTGCCACCAAAGTTTCCCGCCTGTTTTTTTTCTTTTCTTTTGGTCTCCAACACCTGCCTCCTCTCCCCACCTACCCCCGCCCTCCTCCGCTCTCCTGCCTTGTGCAATGGCGCCTTTCCTTTGTTGCAGCGCCGAGCGGAGCGGGGCTGCCTGGCTGCTCCAGGAGCTGGGAACGGATGCCAGCAGGGAAGAGAGCACCGCGCGCGCCCTCGTCTATCTTTGCCTCGCGGGCGAAGCGCTTTGAAAGCGCAGGGAGCGGCGAGCCTTGCAAGGCGGGCAATTCGGGTTTCCCCTCGCGGGCGCTTCCAGATCTGCCCTGCTTGCGCGTCCGTTCGTTCTTGCTCGACCTGGGGAGAGACTCACCTGCCCTGCACCTGCCCGCACTCCTGCTCGCTGGCCATCCTTGGACGCAGGGCAGAAGCGCACTGAACACAGAGAAGCTGTCCAGAGCCGCCGCTGATTGGCCGATGAGCTGCTTTGGGGAGGGGGAGGGGGAGAGGGAGATACGGCTGAAACCCCTCCCCGTACGTGTCGCGGCAGCGCTTAGTGAGAAGCAATTAAGGAGGAAAAAAGGCGCCAAACGCTCCGAAGGTGCTGAAAGAGAGCAGCGCAGGGCTCCGGAGCATTTTAACAGACTGAACCCTACCTCCTTTCTCAGGAAAAAAAATATCATCTTCCTCTAGTCCAGTGTTGTTGTTTGTTGGCCATGCCCCACCTAAGCATCTTTAAAGTCCTGGTGCCTCCCCTCCTGTGACATATAATTCTTACTTTACTCAAAAAGCGAACTCTACTCAGGGGGGGGGGGGACCTAAAGGGCCATTAACTTGGTTTAAATAAGGTTCAAATTGTCCCCATTAAAAGTCAAATTGCCCTCCCCCCTGCTCTAGTCCCTTGTAGAGATTTTCTGAAGGTAGCACTGTGGGAAACCAGATTCCGTCGGGCGATTGGTTCCTTTTTACCGGTAGTTCTCACGCTCAGCAGAAGAACAAAAACGAGAACTGTGACTCAAACGTGTGTTTTCAAAATGAGCGGTCGGTCTTCTGCCGAGTTGGGAGTGGAATAGTGGAGCACGTTGGGTTTGTAACAGTACAAACAGAAGGTGGGGAAAAAAATCCACAATGCCCAAAATATGTGAGCTCACTCTTTCACTGATGGAAAGGGAGGGGGGGGAATACAGCCACAGGGAAGGATTTATGGGATGAATATTGATGAAGGGAATACTTGGCTGGACACCAAAATCCAAGCCGGTTTGTGGAGTTCTGCAGTTGGGCTGCTGCATTTAATGAGCTTGGTTTGCTTTGCAGCTTGCTTAGGTTTGTAGGTTTTGGTCAGGCTATGTTTCCTCTTGTCACTTTTCCCCCCAGCTCTGCTACTCAGTTGTCTTCCAGTTCCAAGAACTGATGTTTTGTTTGTGTGTCTGTGTCTGTGTCTGTGTCTGTGTTTGTGAGTGGGTGCGCGCGCGCGCGCTATCTAAAGATTGGGTTGGAGGTTTCCCTTTCCTGCATCTTCACTCATACCTGCTTGTTTTCAGTTCCTCTTTTTTAATATAAAACAATCATCATCAATTTCCATTNTTTTTTTTTTCTGTACTAGCATTCAATTGATAAAATTCTATCTGAAAAGAGATTTCATCTTTAATCAATAGATGTAAACATTAGGAGAAAAAATATCCTGCCTAAAAGTCTTTTCAGTGCAAGTAAAGAGGGCTAAAATGCTAATATTGCCATTGTTAGAATGCTAATAATGAAGCCTAAAATTCCAGGTAACAGCATCAGCTAGATAATGTTAGCTGTGGTTAATATAACTATATAAGCAAATATTGCATATCTGTTTGAATGTTTGACCACTGCTTTTTCTGTTTTAATCTTTAGTATTGGTTTTCCCATTGTTCCTGTGAATATGCCATTTTCAATTATAGGAAACTATAACAAAAATAGTAATTATCTTGCTCCCTGTCCTGGGCTTCCGTGTTATTCTTTTTGCCTTTTGTTTAAATTAAACAAAGGTAAACTGACTGACTGCTTAAGAGGGTTTTGTTTACAATAGTGTAATCAACAGATCAAGAGATCTAATAAAAATGTGGCCATCACTACAATTAAGCAAACTAAAATGGTCACTTCTGACCACACATTTGGGCTGTCATGGAAGAACAGTAAATTGTTCATGATTTAACTTACATGAATTAAATTTTTATCACCGGAATAAACAAAAGTTCTATTTTGATATGCTTTATTATCCCAAACTTTTTGTAGGTTGTTTGAGCACAACAATCGCGCCTCTATTTTGAGCAGAGGAATGCCTGAAATAACCTTTTTCACAACCACACCTTCTTTTCAGACAAAGCAGAAGAGAACCAAAGACAGCAGCCAACAGTCATGAAGGAACAACTATGATCGTGACCTGATGGAGTACCAAACTGAAGAAGACATATTTGAACATGGCATGAGCCTGGCAACCAAAAACCAATGATCTCATCAAAGATAGAGGAAGAGTTACAGTTTATAATTGGTAGAAACAGGATCACGGAAATTTGAATGTATTTAAATTTCATTTTGAATGCATTGGAACTGCATTTTAAGACACCGACAACTTGCTGACAGTCTAATCCAAGCTTTACCATTTATTTTTCAGGTAAGGCAGGTTTATGGGAAGGCAAATGTCCATATGTTCAAAAAGAGTTTAAAGAACTAAAGATTACTTAGCTTGACTGTTAACTGGAAAGATCTGGTGAAGGTACTGGCCTAGAAACCAGCAGACTATGAGTTCTAGTCCTACCTTAGGCATGAAAGCTGGCCAGGTAACTTTGGGTCAGCTTTCTTTAGGTGGATTTTTGTCTTTCAGCCCAACCACTCAGAGAGTTATTATTGTGGAGAAAATAGGATGAAGGTGAATTGTATGTGTTCACTGCCTTGAGTTACTTATAAAGACAGGATAACACTCTAATAAATAAAAGTCAGAACAGCTTGTCAAGAATAAATCTTGCCAGACTAACCTCATTTCAAATTGAGTATTTCCTTAATAAGTTGTGATGATGCTTTTCATCTAATACATTTTATTTCTGCAAAGCTGTTGAAAAATATGCACTTGGATGAGCAAAGTTAGTTAAGTGTAGCCTGGATATCATAGCAATTAAATGGATAGGTAGCTGCAGCGATTCCTCATCAAATGCGTGAGACAGTGGTGGGTTCCGGGCAGTATGGCCCAGTATGGCCGTACCGGTAGTAGCTGGAAGCAGTGGCCACTGTACTGGTATGATGACTCATTTGGCGCACCCGCCCGCCCGTGTTCCATAGCTGTTTTTAAAGGAAACAGGCCAATTGCGCACATGCGCACAGCATGCAGCACCTGCGTGACCTTCGCTGAGCAGCTGGGTGTCGCAGGGCGGTGGTGTGTGCTTGCATGCGCAGCGCGTGTGCTTGACTAGGATGCCCGGCCCCATGTGCAGCATACCGGTTGCGACAGGGTCCAGAACCCACCACTGGAGTGAGATTTCAAATGGAGTGTACTAATAGCAGAGGTAATATGCTGCCAGTTCGCAACGGTTCAAGCGAACTGGTAGTGGCAGCGGTGTGAGGCTCCGCCCACCCACCCAGACGTCATCACGGACCTTCTACACATTCACAGAAAGTTCTGAACATGCCCAGGAGTGCATGCACTCTCCCGCTACCGAACCGGTAGTGAAGAAACTAGAATATCATTAGTGCCTAATAGGGTTTGAATTCTAAAAATCAAACAGCTCTCCTGTGTTTTTATTAATGAATACGATGAAAAATATTCATTTTAAGAACTCAAAAAAACTATTTAAAAAAAAGTCCAGAGAAGAATTACAAGGATTAATCTGAGCTCTAGAAATAATGTTCTTATGAAGATGCTAGAAAATAAAGTATGCAAACTCCGTGGTCTTTTGAAGGTGCTGACTGGATAAAAATCTAATAATACTGTAAATAAATAATTATTATGCACAAATATACATTTCACTGTCGTGTGTGTGTGTACAAGCAAACACATACCCAAATTGAATATTTTCTTTACATTTTATTATCAATAAATATTAAATAATAGACTTTATGCTTAAAAAGAAAGACCCTGAAGATATTTAGAGATCAAAGGTATGAATGGGTTTTTAACTTATAATTCAGATATCTGAAATGTATGAAGAACTTGAAGTTATTGTACTTGGACTGCTGATAAAAAGAGTTATTATGTTATTATCGGAGTAATATTTGTGAACTGGACTGAAAAATTAATGTAATTATATTTGTCAACTATTAGCCTTTGACCTGCTTTTATCCAAAGAGAAGCAAGATCAGAAAATATGATTCCATATGCTTACTAATTTCAAATTGCTGTTTAAAAATTAACAATAATTAATTTTATTAATATAACATTAAGAACTTTAGAATGTAAACTTATACAATTTTTAAAGTTGAATAAGTTAGTGTTTGCAATCATGGGGTTTTAGATTCGCCCTGCCTCCCCGCTTTTCTCTGTTCTTTGTTTGGTTTCATTGCAGGTTCTTTTAGCTCCAGGTCTTTATGATCTGATGCTGTCACCTGTGTCTTATAGCTGAGCTGATTTATTTTAGCTGCAATATATCTGAAACAGCATTAAGGGCAAAGTTGCCATCTGAGATACTTAAGTCCTCCCCAAAAAATTTGGAGGGATGTTTTCTCACTGATAGGAATTCTTATTTCACTGTCTCCAGATCTCAAGCTGATCTTGTCTTCCTTTCCACTATAGTTCTACTATTATAGCACCAGAATGTTTATACCATTATTTCTCAGCTCTTTCAATTGCAAACAAGGATTGTCTCTTTGTGGCTTTGCAATTCTACCTCACAGCAAGCATTCTATTTCCTGAACCGAAAGGCAAAACTGTGGATGGAGATTATATCAGCCAAGAATGTCTTTTCTTTGGTCAGCAATAATTTGATGGTCTCAGAATTTGAAAACCAAGAGAAGTAAAAATGTTCACTAGTTGGTTTCAAAATTATTTTTAAAGCTGAAGGAGTAAAAATGACATAAAGGTATTTTCCATCATGCTTCCTTTTCTCATGACATAATTATTACTGAAACAGCTGACGGTATCAGTCTGTAAATCAATTTTAAACTTAAAAACTAAAAGATGTAACTAAATTATAAACACCAAGCAATTGTGACAACACGGAAAGCAAGCAACATTTTGTTTGCAATCATCATTAAAAGTTTAGCTGTGGATATAATTCTATTTACTTAATTCAGTGGATTTACCTCTATTGAAAACAGTGTGCTAAATTGCCAATTATGAAAGAAACTCATTTTTTTGAATGTGATATAATGGATGATGGATTATGAAAAATACTAGACTTTGTAAGGTTGAGGAGTAGATTTGGTAGATGGATGGATTGAGGATTACTAAAATGAGCTTGGA